CAAAATCTGCAAAAATCCTCAACAGTAGTAAACTCAAAATTGGCAATTTTCAAAAGTTGTTTATTAGCTCCGCTGTCGACAAATTCGACACAGCGGAGCTGTTCATATTACTGATTGTTCGTCTCCGTCTTCATCAACTTTACAATTTCAACTTCTTCTTCGAAACCGCAAGTCAGAATGTTTTCAAATTTGATATGCAAGTACCTTGGATGATTCTTTCTCAGATTTGTTCATTTCATGATGATATCTTCAATTCTCTAATTTTGGTGAATATTTTTGTAATTTTTGGTAAAAAGTGATATTTTTGACTTCTTGTTAAAAACCACAAGTCTGATTGCTTTGATATTACATATATAGGTACTACATGTGGATCTCTCTCAGATTTGTTCATTTTGTGATGATATCGTAAATTCTCTAATTTTGATGAATATTTTTGTCATTTTTGGTAAAAAGTTATATTTTTGACTTATGGTTAAAAACCACAAGTTTAATTGCTTTGATATTATATATATATGTACTACATGTGGGCCTCTCTCAGATTTGTTCATTTCATGATGATACCTTCAATTCTCTAATTTTGATGAATATTTTTGTAATTTTTGGTAAAAAGTGATATTTTCGAATTCCTGTAAAAAACCCCAAGTCTTATTGCTTTGATACTATACATATTGTTCATTTTCTAATGATATCTTCAGTTCTTAATTGAAATGTGCATTGTTAACAGCGGAGCTATCTCAGCCTACAGGCTGCTTGTTTAAGTTTTATAATATGTATTTCGGAAAATTTTGTTTGAGACTGACATGTCTTGTTTGCCATGTATGCTGCAGTTACAACACTTTGTTCAAAATATATATGGAGAAAAATAATTTTTGAATTATAGTGTAAGAAGTTTATTGTTTGCATGATTTGTAGACATTTACTTCTGAATCACATAATTTTATACACATTCAACTTACGGGAACCAAAAATAACATGTTCTTGGTTGTGTTCCCATCAGCTGCCATATTCTTCTATACTTATGAAGGACTGAAGAAGACCATTGGTGGGGTTGTTTCTGAAAAATACCACCCGTTTGTCCATATGCTAGCTGCATCAGCTAGTGAAGTGGTGAGTATAGTAAATATATTGGTTAAATTATTTATTGTGGACAGAGGTGAGACTATAACATATAGAAAATATTGCTTTCATTTTTGGTGGTATATACCAGTAATCCCACACTGGATTCACATTAAACACATCCAAGATTCCACCAAATGTGCATCATTGCAAGTCACAACAACCTTATCGTGAGAACTAAATTAATTTGCCGGGGCAGGTAGAAATAAACCTCATATATTCAAGGGTCAAAATAAAAAAAAAAATAAAAAATTGCTCACATGAACATATGGTTGTCCGATAAAGGTTTTGTGTTTACCTGTTTGAATGTTAATAAATTCAAATACTGTCATCTTTCAAAAAAATCACTTTTTACCTTTTTGTTTAACCCTTGTCAAAGTCGGTTTTAATCACATCTAGCCAATGAGAAATTATATCTGTATGGTCCAAAATTAATAAAATATGCAAATGTGATGGTGGTAATATCCATGATGATCAAGTCACAAATAGATGTCTTACCTAATTCTTTGATTTGTTTATTTTCTTAATCTATAAGACAGCATGTGGTATACGAGTGCCTGTGGAAGTGATAAAACAAAGAGCACAGACAAATATACAGTTATCAAGTGTACAAGTACTTAGAATGACCATACGTCAAGAGGTAAAAACTTGTTATGTGCTTTCTAATGCATTGTTCAGCATCAACCTTATAGATAGTACCGTAGTTTCTTTTACACATGTTTTCAAAATGAACTTTTTATATTTTATAGACTCCATAGGTATACCTTATTAGACAATTTCAGAGCTCTATCATGAATGGAACATACATACCTAAAACGGTGAATAAATTTGCATATCTGGATGTATAATTAAATAATTAATAAATTGTACAATCAAACATAAAATAATTTTAAAATATCTTTTGATGCTTATTAACATCTACAATTCACTGAACATTTGTACTTATCAAAGGTTTCATATCCATTTAAAAATCAATGCAACAACTTCACTATTTATCTATTGATGTGAAAATCAGTATATATCTTTGTTTTAATTTAACATCAAAATGATCGATCAAATGAGTTTGATCAGAGGTACATTACTTGGGGTTTGCAACTGGCATAGTACTGTATGGTGACATCATGTCAAGATCCCATTCAAGTCTCTTCTCGTAGATAGCGAGACTGAGGCTACGACCTTCTGACATGACGCATATCAATGTTCAAGGTTTGTAATGAAAAAAATAAACTTTTCTTGTCACTATCATAGTGAAAAATGTAATACATCGAAAATGTACAGAAAATATAGTTCTCGTAATCCGTCATATCGTGGCAGCTATTTGCTC